AAGCTCCAGGGCCTGACGGTATTCACCCACAAGTACTAAAGAAGCTAAGTGTGGAAGTAAGTGAACCTCTGTATTTAATATTTCAAGAATCTTTTCTTTCAGAAACTATACAAGAGGATTGGAGGAATGTAGATGTGGTTCCTATATTCAAAAAGGGTTCAAAATCTTTGCCTGGAAATTATAGACCTGTGGGCTCAATTTCTGTGGCTGGCAAAGTATTTGAAAGGTTATTAATAATAATATAATAATATAATATAATAATATTCAGGAATTAATTGTGAAGACCATTGTTATTAATGATAATCAGCATGGCTTTATGATAGAAGATCAGGGTGTTGTAGTGGATGTGATCTACTTGGATTTTGACAAGGTGTTTAATATGGTCCCTTACAATAGGTTAATGTTCAAACCAAAAGAAATTGGTCTAGATGAACATTCTTGTGCTTGGCTAGAACACTGTTTTAAAAATTACAGAGAGTTGTCATTAATGGTAAATTGTAAAGCTGGACAAAAGTGGTATGTGGTGTCCCTCAGGGTTCTGTTCTGGGACTGCTTCTATTTAACATATTTATAAATAAAGGAACATTTTAATGATGAAGAGAGGTAATACATTTAAATCTAATTAGTTAGGGAAAAAAAGGCACCTTACAGGGGATATGATAGCACTATGCAAATATATTCGGGGTCAATACAAACTGTTGTCTGGAAAGCTATTCATAAGCAGGACTATACATAGGACACAAAGTCACGCATTTAGACTGGAAGCAAGGAGATTTAGTCTAAGGCAAAGGAAACAGTTTTTTTACAATAAGAATAATAAGGATGTGGAATTCTCTGCCTGAAGAGGTGATTTTTATCAAAGTCTTTACAGATGTTTAAGCAGCAATTGGATGAATACTTCAAAGATATCATTTTGAATTAGTGGGGTAATAGCTTTGTGATCCAAGGAAAAGATCTGACTGCTATTCTGGGGTCATGAAGTAATTTGAACTAGTCTGTTGCAAAATTGAAAGCACTTCAAACTGAGTTTCATGCCGCCATCATTTGGATCAACAGCAAAAACAGAAGTGAGAAAAGCTGAACTTGATGGATGTATGTTTCTGTTCAGCTATGTAACTATGTAACCACTATCTATAGGTCCTTTTCCAATTAAGACCTTAGCATTGGATTAATTATCACTGACAGACTCCACCATTGCCCTGTGTATAAAATGCAGTAGAGATTTCACAGGAGAGTTCTTATAATAGTGTATTATTCTATGGCTGGATCATTTTCTACAATACCCCTGGACAAAGGCTGCTCTTAAATTACTACAATAAAAAAATAAAAAAAAAACACCTGGAAATGGCTTGTAATTCTTCTGCACACAAGTTCGACATTATTATTCGAAATAACAGGGCTTACACAGAGGATAAACAATATGATCACTGGTGCCTACGGCACTTTTGTTATGGGCTAATGCAAATATTACAAGTTTTAGAATGAAATGTTGTATTTCTTAAACTGTGTACTTTGTCTTTAAGAGATATTGCAAACTGACAAGGTGTTAGAAATGGAACATATTGTTTTTCATAGATGTTTCTTTAAGCATTAACCTCACTGCATATTATGTTTACGCCATTTTGTCCCAGACGAATTACAATAACAATAATGCATAAACAAGCTTCAAGGCTATGCTACGACTCTTTCAGTACACAATATACTGTGGTAACCTGAAGTAGATAAGGATGTCCAGACTTTAAGATGCCATCTTGAACTAAGTCAGGACAATGTCCATGACGTATGCACCCTTTAGTTATGGCCTTGTATGTTTGCCAAATTAAGGGAGGTCCTAAAATGAAAAAAGTAAAAAAGTTACTTTTTCATATATGAACTACGGTAACCCTAAAATGGAAACACCTAAGGTATAAATAGGTATACTTTTAAATGTTAAGACATAGAGGAGAGACTTGGAGACAGACACTGCTCCATCTTAAAATGACAGAGAGGCTGACATGATGACATGTTCAGAAGGGTATGTTAACCTATTAATGATATTTGCAAGCATTTAGTTTAATCTTATAAACTCTGCTATAGTGGAGTTTATATGTCTATATTTATATTTTTATATAATAAATATCTAAAAAGACAAAACTTTATTGCTTCCAAGACAATCCTTATTTTATATTGTATTCTCAATTATTTATATATGTTAAATAGATGATCTCTTACTAACTATATAAAATTATAACTAAGATATCTGTATGGTTAGCCCTGTTCTATGCTTTAAGACGTTATAGTGGTAAATAAGGGAACCAGCCGCCGTTACACTTTACTACATTTACCACCTTTTAATAAAACTCATCCATAACCAGGCCTTATGAATTGCAATAACATTGTTCTTCATCCCAAAACCATGAGCGGTGTCCGTGGGAAGCCCTGTAATCAGAAGTAGCAAAGTAAATTCTGGGCACCATGAGCTCTCAATCATCTGAGGTTCTCTAATTCTAACCAAGCAGAAATAACCAAGCAAGGACATTGTTTTAAATAAACCATTTCACCATAATGATACTTTGCCTAAGGGCATTTTTTAGTTTGTTTCCTTTTTGCAAAGGGCTAAATGAATAATTTAACGATGAGCACAAATTTAAATGAAGCACTTCAGGCAGAAATTCAAGTGTTTTGTATCTTTGTGTTTCTGGACTTGTGTGTTTGTTTATATCAACCTCAGGCAGAAAGCTACTGTTATTTCTTCATGGAAGAGATTAATTACACCTTTAAAATTGGATCTGGTCTTTGATTTCCCTTCCTAGATATCGAAAAAAATTTTTTACTTACAATAACCGGCTGACAATTTAATATAAACTGATTACTTTTGCTAAAATGACTAATACAAATAAAGGTATTGCAATGCCACAAGTCCCATCGATGATTTCTATTGTGATTATTTCTAACAAGTCATTGTCATACTTATTTTTAACCTTGTTTATATATTACACAGAGATTACTTAAGAAATACCTTAACTAATTCCCAGAATAGAGAAGAAACGGCCTCAGATGTAGGAAAAACCTATCCTGTTGCCATAGAGAAGGTTACCAAGGTAATAGGGTGCATAAACCCAATTAACATCAACACTTGAAAAATAGAAAAAGTGAGGTTAGGTCTCTATAAAAATTAGATAGACCCACCTCACTGGAATAACCTCTTAAATTATCATAAATGGTAATAGACTTTATTGAAAACCAAATACACATAACGTAAACAAATCCACGTAAAAAAGGTGTATAAGAAAGAAAAACACAGCAATACACCTTTAAAAACCTAGGAATACTTATATACATATGTATATATGGAGATCAGTATCTGTAGTATATACTATTGGATTAAACCAGAATATGTAGACAGATCTCTTATATATATTTGTTTAAATTCAGACTCAAAATATAGAAGGAGCGTTCACCCCATGCACTGTCTCAGGTATAGGTGACAAAGTGTCATGTGATAAATAGACGCTGGACATGCTGACCTGTCCAAGTGACCTGTCCTGTGGTCTACACAAATGACCAATCTTGGCTGCATGCAGTAAAGTGGTCTAAAAAGACTTTGTTAACAGAGAAGGATAGCTTATATGAATAGTCCTAGTGGTAAGGATAGTAGCAATGTCTTAAAGGATACATTGTAATGAGTATAAGAGAAACTTAGATACCAAAGGAAAAATAAACTTGTATAAACGGCCAAACAGTATGGCAGTGTTGGAACAGTTTCTATTTTTCGAGTGTTAATTCCCAGAATATACAGTGAGAGAATAAGCAAGGGATAGCTCATCTTGGGCCTGCAGATATTGGGTAGCTACTCAGCCAGCCTTATATGTAGAATGCATAATTTAAGTATAAGATCTATCTTGATTTTCAATTGATTTTTTTTTTTTTCATTTTGGAATATAACATTTATAGGTATAGCAAGGGAACAAGGAAAAGGAGATATTCCTTCTATCTAAAAATTACATCATAAGTGAAAGAGACTGGAAGTGATACATTTTGTCTCTCATTTCTTTGCTCCATGTTCTTCTCCCTGCCCTCTTCCCTGGGAGGTCCTGAAGACATCATAATAGACCATAATACTGATCTGATGATCAAATGACTTCTAAAGGTCTACAAAATTGCATTATTCCCTCTAGTATATGCTTTTGATTTATGCTCTATCTTTAATTGTGCACACGTTTTTTTTAAAATTAGAGTTAGGACAAGGTTAGGTATCCTTTTATCTGAAAGCTTCAGCAGGGCACACACATCCCAGCCTGTCCTAGTTGCAAGTGCTCTCCTTCAGTCAGCTCCTTTCCTTGTAGTGATAAGCAAGTAGAGGAGCCCCTCTTCCAAAATCTCGGCCACCGTTCTTTTTTCATGGGTGCTTTGTTGTATGTACATTATTACAATGTATCTTATTGCTACATGAAAAAGCATAGCAAGCAAGAACAGATTAGTGAAAGATTGAAATTACAAACTCAAAAGCTATTCTGCCAAATTAGAATGTATTCACTTGTGGCAGTCAGGGCCGGACTGGCCCACCGGGATACCGGGAAATTTCCCGGTGGGCCGCGGCACCTGGGGCCGGTCTGACAGCCCTGATCATTGGGCTGACAGCTCCTGTGATCCCGGCCGGCCATGTGTGAGCTGTGCGGCCGCACAGAGCCCCATGGGAGCGGGGGGAGCCAGGCGGCCGGCACAGCTCACACATGGCCGGCCGGGATCATTAAAAAAAAAATAAATAAAAAAAAAAAATTTGCGGTGGGGGCGGAGCTTACGTGCGGCGGGGGCGGGGCTAAGCATGCGGCGGGGCTAAGCGTGCGGCGGGGGCGGGGCTGATTGCAGCACGGGAAGCAGGAAGGAGTCCCTGCTTCCCCAACAACCAGCCTGCAGGAGGTAAGAAGCAGGTCAGTGTGTCTGTGTGTCACTGTCTGTGTGAGTGTGTGACTGCCTGTGTGTGATTGTCTGTGTGAGTGTGTGACTGCCTGTGTGATGTGTGACTGCCTGTGTGAGTGTGTGACTGCCTGTGTGTGATTGTCTGTGTGAGTGTGTGACTGCCTGTGTGTGATTGTCTGTGTGAGTGTGTGACTGCCTGTGTGTGATTGTCTGTGTGAGTGTGTGACTGCCTGTGTGAGTGTGTGACTGCCTGTGTGTGATTGTCTGTGTGAGTGTGTGACTGCCTGTGTGAGTGTGTGACTGCCTGTGTGTGATTGTCTGTGTGAGTGTGTGACTGCCTGTGTGTGATTGTCTGTGTGTGTGACTGCCTGTGTGTGATTGTCTGTGTGTGTGACTGCCTGTGTGTGATTGTCTGTGTGAGTGAGTGTGTGACTGCCTGTGTGTGATTGTCTGTGTGAGTGTGTGACTGCCTGTGTGTGTGTGTGTGTGTGACTGTCTGTGTGTGTGTGACTGTCTGTGTGTGTGTGACTGTGTGTGTGTGAGACTGTGTGACTGTCTGTTGTGTGACTGTCTGCCTGTGTGTGCGTGACTGTCTGCCTGTTTGTGTGTGTGGCTGTCTGTCTGGGTGTCAGTGACTGTCTGCCTTTGTGTGTGTGTGCACGCATCTGCTAGTGAGGGAGCCTCTGTGTGTGTGTGTGTGCCTGCTAGTGAGTTTGTGTGTGTGTGCCTGCTAGTGAGTGAGCTTGTATGTGTGTCAGTGAGCTTGTCTGTAGGGATCATATGTCTGTGTGTGTCGGAGCCTGTCTGTGGTGAGCATGTGTGTACAGTGAGTTTGTCTGTAGTGAGCATGTGTGTGTCAGTGAGCTTGTCTGTAGTGAATCTGTGTGTTAGTGAGCTCTTCTGTAGGGAGCGGGTGTGTCAATGGGCTTGTCTGTAGGGAGAGTGTGTGCTGATCAGTGAGCTTGTCTGTAGTGAGCGTGTGTGTGACAGTGAGCTTGTCTATAGTAAGCTTGTGTGTGTGTATCAGAGTTTGTCTGTACTAAATTTGTGTGTGTGCCAGTAACCTTGTCTGTGTGTGTCATTGTCTGTCAATGAGCCTATTTGTGTGCATCAGTAAGATTGTCTGTCTGTGTGTGAGAATGCTTTACTGTATAATTTAATTACCCTAAAAGAACTAATATTTTGAATTTGAAGAAGATTATATATAGGCAATTGAAATAGTTGGCTGCACTCTCGGATTTCCTTAAAATTTTACTTTTATTGAAATATTTAATATTTCAACGTTTCAGTCCCTTGCATCAAGATCATGACGAAAGTCCACAAGAGGGACTGAAACATTGATCTTAAATATTTCAATAAAAGTTACATTTTCAGGAAATCCGAGAGTGCAGCCAACTATTTCAATTGCCTATATATATATAAAACACCCTACATAGCACAATGACTTATGGGGCTGGCATAGATTTTTTTCCAGGGCTGCTTCGTATCCCCAGTCCGGCCCTGGTGGCAGTTGGGGAATGTATGTCAGGCTAATAGGTGGCAAGGGAAGAATGAGTGAGGAAAACGTAAGGAAAAAGATATGCAATAAAAGAGAAATAGAGTTGTAAGTAATATGTCATCAGTGTAAATTCCAAGGTACAGTGTTTAAAAGCACCAAAAAAAACATGTTTGTAAACTTTATTTATTTTTTAAATGAGCTTTAGTTATCTGCTTTCTCGAGAAATTACTATCTCACACAACAAAATAATATCTCAGCTAGAGAGACACTATTACTGATTGCAGTCTCAAATAATTTATTCTGTCCAAGGGCATTCCTCACGCACACATTATTCAAAGAGATTTTAACTCAGCAAAACTAGCTCATCAATGACATTTCCTTAGGCAATGGAAGGTCACCTTTATGTACTGCAAAGGGATTTCAGTCTGAGCTACGTAAAACAACAAACAACATACACAAAATTAATAATTAACAAAATACTTGCAAAGGGTAAACACAAGACTTATATTCACTTATATTCTCTAGGTGATTCCAGAGCACTTCCTCACGTACATCAGTGCTTGCACAGTGCTTTGCTCATGGGAATCCTGCATGATAGCCTCGGCAGGAAGACTGTCATCATTACATTTCCCTTGAAGACTGGGTGCATCACCAGTGAAATGACACAATGGAATACCTCCAAGCCCCCTGTCCTATCCTGGTTTTTATTTTTACCAAAGTAAAATCCCACCAATATTTTAAAAACACTACAGATATTTTTTAATAGAGCCTCACGAATAATAACGTGCCTAGGTAAGATATGTTCATTATCCATATTTAATATGCTCTGAAAATACAGGTTCACAAAGTAACCAGAAAAGAAAAGATACTCAACTATGTGTATCATTCTATTGGTTGCACACTGGGATTAAACAATAAAAACTATACACTTACTATATTAACCCCTTAAGGACCGGTGACGGTTCAGGACCGTCATCGGCATTTTTGCGTTGCCGACCACTGACGGTCCTGAACCGTCACAGCGGTAAGATGTACTTACCCGGTCACCGTCGTTCCCCTGGCGACGATCGGCGGTGCTCCCGGTGTGGGGAGACTGCGTGCAGCCCAGTCCGTCTCCCCATGGTGGATTAGGACCCCTGGGGCCATGTGATCGCTCAACAGAGCAATCACATGGTCACAATAGGTGCCATGTGTCTGCCTGCAGGGGGACTGCCTGTGCTGACAGGCAGTCTCCCTGCTAGTGTAAAATAAAAAAAATAAAAATTTTTTAATGCTAATAAAAGAATAGAATTATATATGTGTCTATTCTTGTATTATATCTATATAATATATGTCTATATATCATATATATAATGTCATACTAAGTGTATTTTTAACACGCTTATAAAAATACACTTATAATTAAATTACACACGTGTATATATATATTATATATATATATATATATATATAATATATATATAACTATAAATATTGTGTATATATATATATATATATATATATATATATATATATATATATATATATATATATATATATATATAAAATACAAATAATAAGTAAATTAAATTAAATAAAACATTTTTTAAATAATAATAAAAAAATTTAAATTATATATCTATATGAAATTTTATTCTAACTGTATTTTGATATTAATATATATATATATATATATATATATATATATATATGTATCAAAATACACTTAGAATGAAATTGTATATATATCTATGTATATATAAATAAATACAAATAATACAAAATATACATATGTCCATATACAAAATTGCATAAATAATTATATAAATATACACGTAGACTTCAAATACATAAATATGTATATATATTTAAATTCTACGTGCGTATTTATGTAATATTTTTACATAATTAAGTAATTTTATTAATTGCAATTTGAGGGACCTGCCTGACAACCCTGGCCGAAAGTCTAGAGAATTTAATTTGCAAGCACTGTATTTTACCCTGTAACTTTCTATGACACTCTAAAACCTGTACATGGGAGGTACTGTTTTACTCGGGAGACTTCGCTGAACACAAATATTAGTGATTCAAAACAGTAAAACATATAACAGCGATGCATTTTTAACACACAAACAGCACTTTTACTGATGATATAATTGTTGTTATACCTTTTCCTGTTTTGAAACACTAATATTTGTGTTCAGCAAAGTCTCCTGAGTATAACAGTACCCCCCCATGTACAGGTTTTATAGCGTTTTTGAAAGATACAGGGTCAAATAGATGGGTCAAATATTTTTACATTGAAAATTGCCAGGTTTGTTACGTTGCCTTTGAGAGTGTATGGTAGCCCAGGAATGAGAACTACCCCCATGATGGCATACCATTTGCAAAAGAACACAATCCAAGGTATTGCAAATGATGTATGTAGTAGCCACTTAGTCACAAACACTGGCCAAAATTAGCATTCAATTTAGTTTTTTACTTTTTTCACACACAAACAAATATAAAAGCTAACTTTGGCCAGTGTTTGTGACTAAGTGGCTACTAAAAAAGACTGGACATACCCCATATTGAATACCCTGGGTTGTCTACTTTAAAAAAAAAAAATGTACATGTGGGGTGTTATTCAGAGATTTATGACAGATAATAGTGTTACAATGTCACTATTGATAAATGTTAAAAATTTATGTTTTGAAACCAGAATATCCTACTTGTACTTATAGCCCTAACACTAGGTATTTTTAAACTCAGGACAAAATTTGGAATCTATTTAGCAGTTTTTTTCATTCGCTTTTGAAAATGAGTAAAAGATTTTTTTTTCAATTTTTCATCATTTTTTTACATGAGATTATATAAATAGTGGTATGTAAAGAAAGCCTTTTTTGTCCTGAAAAAAACAATATATAATTTGTATGGGAACAGTAAATGAGAGAGCAGAAAATTACAGCTAAACACAAACACCACAAAAGTGTAGAAAGAGGCCTGGTCGCAAATGTACAACATCGCAAAAACAGTCCGGTCCTTAAGGGGTTAAACTAGTGCCATCTCTAAAGTGGTTTAGTATTATTATTTGTATTATTATTTCATTTTCTACAAACTTATGTAAAATAGGATTAATATTGTGCTCCTAATGAAAGTGATAGGGTTCATCCCATGCCATCCACCAGAATTCAAAGTGCATTATTGCAAATTATTGCAAATAACATAGACCTACTCACTGAAAAATGAGGTGAGCATTAGTTGAACTTCATAAAGTTTAGACTTTTTTGATCCTAGATTACTATTTAACTATGTCATTATTTGACTGGTTGCACAAGTTTCTGTTTGTGTGACTTCCCAGGAAAAAATTTATACTTTTGTTCACATGGTATACTTTTTTTAAATGCAATTATATGAACTTCTACAGATTTTGGCCTCAATTTTATATTTTTGGAAAAGCTTTTCAAATGACTTCAAAATATTGGAAAATATCAAAATATATATTTTAAATGTCAAAATATAGCAATATAAAAATAATTATAGATATATTTTTTTAAAATATTAAATCGTTTGAAAAGTTGATCCAAAGATATTAAATTGAGGCCTGTGTTCGAGAGGGTGTGGGTACCTTGGGTCCTATCTCCCCATGTGGTGCAATTGTCCAAGTTGGTGTCATACTGGAGAGATTCAGGATCTTTTAGCAGCGGTATTCCATAGGCCACTGGTCGCTTGCAAAGGCTGCATAGCAAAATCACTCTGTCAGCACTCAGCTCCCTTGCCACTCTGTGGCTTTGGGATAGGGCTCCTTCCATCCAGGAGGTCCTGGCCAGGACCAATGATAATTGTTTGATGATTAGACTTTGATGTGGTACGCAATTCTCTCCTATCCTTTCCTAAGGACCCATGGTTAGAGTATACTTCTAGCTAATTATGGTCTGCTTATCAGAATAATCCTTGTC